AAAGAACGAAGAGGCAATTCGACGCGTCACGGTAATCGATGACGAATGGTTACCTGACAATATAAAACACGACCAAGAAAACGACCCGGACTTGAAGAAGATAATGGAATGGAAAAAAGACGAAAAACGGCCAACGTGGCAGCAAGTTTCTTCCTGTACTCAAGTACTAAAATCGTTATGGGCTCAGTGGGACTCAATGGTTTTGGAGGATGGCATCCTGAAGCGTGTTGTTGAAAGTCTAGATGGAGAGGAAGATAGGAAGCAACTGGTTATTCCTCGAAACAAGGTTAGAGAGGTGTTGCAGTATCTTCATGATGGATCATCTGGTGGTAATTTTGGAGTGAATAAGACGCTTGGGAAAGTTCGAGAGCGATTTTATTGGGTGAACTGTAAGGAAGATGTCAAGAATTGGTGTAAGAAGTGTACCACCTGTGCCGCGAGTAATGGACCACAGAAAAGGTCAAGAGCCAATGCGTCAATACAATGTCTGTGGCCCCTTCGAACGAATCGCAATCGATGTGGCGGGTCCATGCCCAGAGTCCGAGAAAGGTAACAAGTACATCGTGGTCGTTATGGACTATTTTACCAAGTGGGTTGAAGCCTATGCCCTTCCGAACCAGGAGTCGGAGACCATAGTTGAGGAGCTGGTGAAACAGTTGATCAGTCGTTTTGGGGTGCCCTTGGAGTTACGACTACCTTGTGACCTCAAATTCGGCTGTAAACCAGTAGATGACTTGGCTGGAGAAGATTATGTTACCAACCTCCGAAGAAAGCTTAACGATATCCACGAGTCGGTTCGTCTGCATGCCCAGATTGCTAGTGACAGGATTAAAGAAAACTACTACATCAAGGCTACAACAGGTGGTTACCAAACTGGAGATCTTGTTTGGTTGTATAATCCTCGTCGTCGCCGTGGACTATCACCTAAGTTCCAACAGAACCGGGAAGGACCCTGTGAGATAGTGAAGAGGATTAACGACGTGATTTACCGAATTAAGAAAACTCCAAATGGGAAGCCGAAGGTAGTTCATTTTAATCGCTTGGCTCCATTTGCCGGTACAAATGAAGAGGAGGCGCGGGCCAGATAATTAAGAACTATTCCTTCCGATGCCACATTCGAAGAGTTCATGAAGGAAGGCCGTCATGTTAACAGGAGATTTGGAGTGACGCAAGAAATCCGACGAGACCTCTTTCTATGCCCAAGGAATATTCTCTGGCCCATTTTATTTCAAAGGATCTCAGAATGAGCCGTGGTATTGCGTCCGAGTTCAAACGCAGATTTGGCGATTTGGAACATCTTGAAGACCAAGTACAGAAGGGAAAAAGACTGTTTGCTTGCCTGACGGACGACGCAATATCTATTACCTGGTAACTAAGGGAAGATGCTCTGATAACCTAACTTAAAGAGATCTTTGGGACGTAGTAATGGAACCCGGCGGACATCTTCTGGAGAATAACCTACTGAAGCTGGCGATTCCGAAGCTTGGTTGTGGACTGGATAACCTTGATTGGAGGATCATACGGAACATGATCGAAGTCCTGTTCCGCCGTACTGGAATAGACATTTTCGTNGTAAGTATAAAACTTGGTGTTATTATAATATTTTAACGTTTAAATGCATATTTCAGTTATTCTGAAGAAGTGCTAAATAGTCGAAAGTTATCAGGTTCTAGCTACTGTTCCGGACATGATTTAAATTCTGATGTATTTTTATCAAATAATGAAATGGGCCCTGGGGGTGATACTTCCAATTTAACTAATAATATTGAGAAATATAATGTTGCAGACATAACTAAGTCTGATATTCAAAAATTTAAGAATGATTTGCAAAAAATCTGTGATATAATGGAAACATTTGATTTAATAAATGCTACAAACTCTGAATTGCATTTATTAGTTCAAAGCATCAGTGTGTATGACATGAAATTATTAACTCAGATTAATTTAACAGAAATACAAAACAGAAATCATACAGAACTGGAAATATTAAGAGACAATTATGAAAATAGAATCAGTTTACTAGATGTAGAATATAACAAAAAGATACAAGACATAGAAAGGAAGCACAATGAAGAAATCTCGTCACTTAAAGAACAATTACAAAACAACGTTAGAAATCAACATGAAGTGGTTGTATTTATAGTGTCTAATTATATAATGTTAGTATAATTAATTCATTTTCAGGCAAATCCTGGTGAATCTGAGTTAGCTGAAGTCGTACAAAGTTATGAACGTAGACTGCAAGAACAAGTAATGTTAGCAAAGATAGACATAATAAACGCTCTCGAATATCAAATTCAGGTAATCTTAATATTTTTTATACCGTAAATATCATTAAAAAAAATATTAGCCTATAACACTCGGTTCAACTCAGTTGTGAGTTATTACTGTTTAACATGTTTTACATGTATTGTTGGTTGTATATATTTATACGTACATTACAGTATATATTATAAAATATTGAAAAATACTGAAGTACTACGTACTAAAGGCTTAGATTAGATTATGGTAAAATTAAACTTTAGTGTTATGTACCACCGACAATGCTGCCGTCTAAATTTGTTTGGGTTAATGCAGGATATTTCATAAATAAGTGCCAAGCTTAAGCAATTTCAACAACGGTTTTAAGCCGTTTGGTATCGAATTTTTTAAAAATTTATCTGTACCTTCACCTTATAAGTAGAACCGCCGAAGTTCGACATCCCCCGTAAACCGCTGGCGACACAAATTTGAACCACTTCAATTATTGCAAAGTTCATTCATTTTATTCAAGATGTTATAATAAAAATATGTGGAAAGAAAAAAAATTCAATATTTTCATTTTTATTTTTGTATGTTATAAAGTCCTAATCTATGCATTAATTATCATAATTACTTGCACTACAACTTACACATAAATAATACCACAGCCGTCTCTAATACAAGCCATACTAAGAAATTTGGCAACAGCGCATTGCTTCGATGTGAGAGTCCTATTCTGCGAGTCTTAGTTGTTATTACTACTACACGTTGTTACACATAACTTTTAGACACCCATTACGATAAAAATGAATTAAATTATTGAATAACTAACATTTGTTCATCACTAATAGACGTGACGTGACGTTATTTAAAATATACTTCAACATGTAGGTATTAAGAACAAAATAGAAAAGACAGTAGATTAGGTAAACATTGATAGGTACCTTTCATCTCGATAATTGTAATTTTATTAGGGTAAATTTCCACACCACCATTGAAGTATTGCCAAGGCGCGTTACCACTTTTTTGGGGTTCGCCAATAGCCCTGCCATCCCATTAGAAAAAATTAATTACAATTTGAACTTTTCTAATTTATGGATTTTTGCTGTCTTACAGTTAGCTGAATTTGAATTGGAGTGGTGGGACTCTTGCTTTCTATAATTTATAATTTTAACGTAATCATTAAGCAAAACATTAGCAAAAAGAAGATAAAATTTGGAAGAGTATATCTTTCCTAAAATTGGTTTTTGGTGTTCAGCCCGTAAACATTGTGTCTGCAGATTTTCGTTATTACTTATTTCTTCAAGAATGGCATAAATATGAAAAAACTATACTAATATTATCAGTAACAACAGAAAGTTATCCCCTTTGTAAATAATCAAAATCTCCAACGCAAGAGCCTTTATTGTTTATTATGAGCGAAACACAATTGTTGCAAGTTATCTATTTAGTGTAACGAACATGTTTCATTAAGAAAACAACCGCACTATTTTTACTGGTCCTATTTATCTTAAACGGTGCAGGGTCCGTGCGAATAGGGTTCAAAGCAAACATATTTTAGAACTCTTTTTCAAGACGTTGTGAATTTAAAATTTTTCAAATATGAATTTGGATCTTAACTATTGAACTATTATAAACGTCTACCTACAGCAGATCGCGAGGTACCTGCGGAGCAACGCGGCGCTTGCGTTGGATCCTGCTACTTGGAAATAATTTCCGTCTTCGAACAGTTGCCAACTGGTCTTGTTTGCGGAGTTCACGTTGGAACTTATTGAATGAAACGTCGGGAAAACATTTATCGCGTGGTGTATCTAAAATACTTGATGGTTTAATGAAATTCGTGAGGTGATTTAATGTGTTCTTGTGATACTACTGAAGATATTCCTTTGCTCTCTGCAGTAACAGTTAATTGTACGTATGGAGCTTCACTTTAATTTATCTTGATAAGTAGTATCTGTCTAATACCTTTTATATAATAACGTGTAAAATGTCCCATGATTGCATTTATTTTTACTAAGATGGGTAGTTTCTTGTGCTACCTTCATGAGCTAGTCAGAATATTTTATACACCCGAATATATTAAAATTTCGGATGTTTCTATAGAAAATTTAAAAATATTAGAATTTCTAATGTTTTTGCAGGGAATTTCATACGCCCAAAAATATTAG